GATCGACTTAAACATTTTTGCCGAATAACTCGATATTTTTTACTTATTTTTAACGGATGTGATGCTAATTTATGTCATTACCTCGCTAAAAAGAAGTAGGACTTATCGAGCAATACATCCAGTATAAGATTTTCTCATACTCTCTTCAATCCTCTCTTTGACGTCAGGGACTGATCAAAACAAATATTGACACAAGGCCCACAAAATTTTTAAGATCCTTTCCTAAATATTTTAAAAATAACTTATTGTAATAATGTAACCTGTTCAAATCTTTTGAAAGTTCCAAAAATAACCTGTTCAATCTTAAAATGACTGGCACGCTTTGACTTAGAACTCTTTTCATCGAATAATTTTTAGTAATAAAATTTTCTAGGGAAAAATTTTTTCGAAGTTTTAAAAAGACAGTAAAAGGGTTTTTTCTTTTTTCCTTTTACTTAATGTTTATACCTCTTTATATAATGCACAGTAGATTTTTGTTATAATTAAAAAAATCCAATCGATAATCAATAATGAAATGCAAATACAATGAAGATTGAAGCTAAGCATTTTCGTCAGAAGTAAATTATTATATGGTCCCTACACTCATAATATTTAACAAATCTGAGATAATTGATTTTTTTTATTTCAATTATTTTTAAATAAAATCATTAAGAAATAAATAAAAAATTTTTGGATTGACAAATCTGAATAACATAAGATTTTTTGCTGCGTTTAAATTAGTGAAAGCCTAAAATCTTGCCCCTAAATATTTTTTTCATAAAATAATTTAAGGGTACTAAAAATTTTGAAGCTAATAATACAATAATAAAAAGTAATAAGTAAAAAAATAATAATAAAGTACAATAAAAGTTTAACAAAAATTTCATGCAATTTGTGGACAGCCCCTCAAGTAAATGTCCTTTGATTAAAAATTTTAGTTAATTCTTATCTTTATTAAATTAAATAATAAAATCGAAATTTTGAGGAAATGAAGCAAGAGAAATAAAATTTTCTTTCGCCATTAAGGGAAGTGGCGGTTTTTCGGCGTATTCAGTTGGTCCCCGCCAGCAGCAACATTTAAAAAGATTTTTCGGTTCGATTTAAAAGGGCGGGAAATAAAGCATGAAATTTAGAATTTTTTGCAAAAATTTAATAGTTGCACATGAGACTGCAAGAATCCCTCCCACCGAATCCAGGTCTGTATACGTACATGCGAACCAAGAAATACTTCATCAATCATATAAAACCATTGGCGCTTTCATACGCTACGGACCAACGGTATGCCGAAATGGATTATGGTTGAAATAATTGTGAAAACGTTGAATAGAGCAAACCTCGCTTTTTGAATAATTTGTGGCGAAAATCGACACAGCAAAGAAAAAAAATCTCATTTTGGAAAAGGGAAAATTAAGCACTTTTTAAAAACATCCAATGAACAAAACACCTTTAAGGGTTTTCAAAAAACGAAAATAAGCACTTTTTAAAATCGTTACGCACCCTGTTATAACTTGTACTGTTACATTTAAATTAACTTACACTGTTAAATTAACTTACACTGGGCAACAAAAAAATTTTATGCTGCTTTTATACCAATACTTGATCTTGCCTAATTCGGCTGCTGGGATTTCAAATCAGAAATTAGTTTTGCTCCTAAAGGTACAATTTTTTTAAATGATATTTTTACTCTCTTTTGGTCAAAATGTACACATTTGAAAACGTTATATGTAACAGGAGGTAGCATAAATTTTGCGACAAACTTCTTATAAGAGAAAATGTCGTTATACACGGTTAGACAAGCTTCCCTTAATATAACCAGTTCATAACACGACGAAATAGTTCATATTAGGTAGGCACCCCTAGCGGCGTAAGACGATATTTTCAGGCGTGGGTTATTATGCAATTTTTATTCCTGATGCTATGTCTTAACTCTTCGAAGAGTTAGTCGCTTATTTAAACTATCCCCTCTTTTACATTTTTAAACTAATACATTTCGACAAAAGAGACTAAAAATATAATTTTAAAAAAAACTAAAGCTTGGAGAAAGAAACCGATCACTGATTTGAAATCAGGGATATGAAAGTATCTAAGACCTGTTAAAAAAAATTCCTCCAACAGAAAACATCATTTGTTCTACACTATTATTTATCTGCAGACATCTATATCTATTGAAAATTGCAACAGCATTTTTAACAGGTTTTACATCTTTAATTTTTTAAGAACAATGATTTGGTACATTTTTGTGCCATTATTTCTAAGCATATCTACCATCGTTATTGTCACTGCATCAGTTTTCCTCATACACATACAAGAATTCAGCTTTCTGTTTACAGATAAAAATTTGGAATGTTTCAAAATGAATTAGTCCTATAAAATGCATTACTTAAAATCCGGACACAGTCTTATATTAGTCTCATGATTTTATGTTTCATCCAATACAATCCAAGTTCATCAGTAGTTCTTTCTGAGTAAAACTCAAAACTGGATAATTCATCTGAATGTTATAATTTCAGTTTTACACCTCTAAAACTGAATTTTATCAGAAAAAAAGTTAGACTTCTGCAAAATAAATGCAAATCTCATTTACATAAATCATGGCCATTTTTTTCAATGTGACTTACATTAGTCACAAAATTTTGAGTGTCTGATATTAATCCCTAGAAATTAAACGATTTTTTTATATAACAAAACGAATATTTTCAGGTTGATATCATTTAGTAAAAATATGACTTTATTTTAAAAATTTTGTTTTTATTAAATCAGCACCATTTCTGAAATCTTGATCTTTAAAAATAAGATTACTTTTATAAGTTTTTCTTGCACGACAGCCATGAGAAATAACACATTGTTAAATTACTCGTAACAATATTTATAAACTCTATGCTCTTACTTGATTAAAAAAAAATAATAAATTACCCTATTAGAAGGTGCAGAATTTAGTAAATCTAGCAATTATAACTTCCCAATTCATTGGTTAGATTTCAATGTCATACTAATCTTGATATATACTAGATTTAATATTACTTAATGAAAATGAAACAGGATTCAATTTAAATTTTAACTTAGCTTATCCAATGCTAAAATAAGTTAATGGTGTTGCAAATTCTTATGCAAATATAAAATGATTCTATAGCAGAACAAGTTAAAAAAATTACCATGTAAGTTTTGAACACAGTGTTTACTATTTTTAAATGTTGCTTGTCTAGAGACAGAAGTTTTGTCTAATTGCTTTCTGGATTAAGTTGAAAAGGCCACATGATGTTGATTGAAAAGTTTCTGTTCAAATGAAGACTAATAAAGAAGAATTTGGTTGGTGCGACTCAGAATGAAGCAGATGTCTGACACAAGAAATGGAAATACAATACTCTTGCAAAAATACAATACTTTGTAATATCCTCAAGTGTAAAGAGTGGTGAGCTTGTGTTTGATTGCTTTTTGGTTTCATTTGAAAAGTAGCATGAGTTAGAAAGAAAAAAAGCTGCCCTTCTTATGAAACCAGCAAAGCATTCAAACGTATACAACGAAGAATACCATACAACTCAAAAAGAACCAGATTATGCATTCAATATTCATGAAACAGGATTCAAAATATTCTCAAAGAATCCTATAATGCCGCAAGTATTTGGAAAAATATGGACTTATGTTTTACAATTTTCAAATGCAGCAACGTCCCGCAGTGGACTGATCGTTAAGACACGGTTCCCAGCAGATCACCGAAGTCAAGCATCACTAGCTGCGGTCAGTGTGCGGGTGGGTGACCACTTGGATCAGTCTGCGTAGGGATCGAGGGTGTGCGGTATTGGTCCTTGTTAAACTGTTCTACCGTAAAGTGCTCGACTTCGCGTGCAGGTCGTCGGGCTACCAAAGCAGGGGTGCCATCCTCTCAGCGGAGGATCAAAATTGTGATGGCATGTCTTCGGATCATCCTCAGGGATGTTTCCCAGACCGTCGCCAATAGCCCATTGTGCAGCTCTAGTGCGACGTAAATGAACAAATCAATCAATCAAATGAAGCAAAAAAAAGTATACAGCACAGACATAAAATTTTAATTTAGGGGCAGGCAAAGGCTGCCCCCAGACCAAGTTGATTTAGAAAAAGAGGCTTGAATTGTTCACCTGGTGTTTTCTTAAGCTATGTAAGCTGAAAGCTTAATTGCAAATTCATTCAAATTTTGCAAACTTGACACCTGAAGCATCTTAAGCAATTTCACACTTTCTTTCAGATATGTCAGAGTTTCTTCTTGGTGATAAGAAATCTTATTATATAACTTCACAAATATTCTGAGAGTTTTATCATCATTTATGCTGAAATATATATCTGCCTTCAGCACTAAGTATGAGTTCAGTGCATAGCAGTTCTATTAAATGCTCACTGGTGGCCTTATAAAACTGGCAATGCCTTGAAAGTGTATGTCTGGTTCCACCTTATTTGTATGCCAAGCAGATATTTTGTTTGTGAATTTCAGGAATCATGTCCATTCTAAGTGATCTTCAGCTGAGATGCCAACACCACATGACCACTCCAACTACAATAAAGTCACCATTATGGGTAAAATAAATTTTTTATAATGATTCTCAAGCAGTGCTTTTAAAGATTTTTTATTATTGCTCATTCATAATCACTGTGCGCAATCCTATATTAGGGTATGTATATTTGTACTTATAACAAATGATTTTTATATAATGTGAATTCTCCATATGCTGAAAATTTTACTATTTAGCAATTTTATAGGTTCAGTTCAATCTTGATACTTAATTAATTTTTTTTTCTATCCTACACTAGACCTAGGCTTGTCCAACATTAATCTATGATGGGCAGCCCAATACAGTTCAGTAACACAAATAAAATTATTAAAATTCTTGACAACTACTATGCCAGTAAGTCCAGCATAGTAATCACTGCTCATTAATTTATGTTATACAAAAGCAATTTGTATTATTAATATATATTATAGTAATAGTAGATCAGCAAGAGTTTAAATTAATAAAGAAAATCAAAAAAATACATAAACACAAAAAGCAAAGTAGTTATAAAAGAATGTTTTATTCAGAGTTCCTTTTTAACATCAAGATCAAATCTATATCTACAGATTATGTTGTTTTCTTTAAATCAAATCTGCATGGCAGAAATAGTTCTATGCATCTGAAATTATAGAAAAAAATCTTTTAATGAAAATTATTTATTATTAATAACACAACTTCAAAAATTAACTAGAAGTTTTTTTAAAAAAGGGTGTTTACATACATACAAAGCTGTACTTTATATCCAGATTTAATTATACTGGAATTACAGAATGAATATATATTTTTTATTATTTCATTAAAACAATTATTTAGGAAGAAATAGTTTGAAATTTATTTCTATGAAGAAATTTTTAAAATATTCTATCAAATATATTTTGCTAATGAATCATAAAACCAAAAGAATTGGATATGATTTATTTAAGGACAATGCAGCATGTAGAGAACAAATAAATATATATAATCAGACAAGTGATTGTTGAAAGAAGAAATTGTCTGATTTTTTCCCCCTCTGCAGTACTTCCCCTTTTTGTACAAAGAAGAAATAAATAAAGGGCTGTCATTTTAAGCATACATAAAACAATATATATACATTGAAAAAAATGTCTCTCTTTTCGTAGCAAGTGGTCATCGCACATATAAAAAAAGATTTTAAAAATTCAAATCTATCGTGATAACTGAAAAAAGAAAAAATTTTAAATTAGGTGTATTTATGAAAATGCACAAATCGGATGCGTCAAAAAGGGGTTAATTAAATGTGTATTTTGAGATTCAAACTTTATAATAATTAATGTCGTAATAAAATTAAAAATATCAAAATGTTAAAAAATATGCAGAAATGAGTAGTGATAACTTCCGAATAAAAAATTGAAGAAAAATAGATGGAATTATTGCATCAAATTTCAATTTTCTGTAACATAATGTCGGGATTTTAAAACAATCATGTGAAAATTAACAGCATTAACTGCAAAAAAATATATATATCAAAGCGCAGCATGGATTTAGCGCAGATCGACTGCACCAAGGAGTAATTACTAAAAGGAGTGATCCAAATCTCCGGTTTTTATTATATGGTATGAAAATATCAAAACTTAAAAAAACTGGTGGATATCAGTGGTAGTAACAGTGAAAAAAATTGTTCGAAAAAACAGTGAAATCGTCAAAAAGTGGCTAATAAATGCACAAATTGAATTTGGCATATAGTAATAATGTACAAACAATAAAGGAATTTTTTGTTAAAAAAATTTGTGAAAATTCATAGCATTAATAGCCGATAAAAAGGCTAAAGCAATGCATGGATGCTATGGTATGACGATACATCGGTATGAACTATCAAAGTATATCCGACACTTGGTTGATGGAAGGAATATTTTTCCAATCTCATATATAACTTGTTCTTTCAGTGTAGTGTGTTTGGTGTAGTTCACTCCTCTTCAAGTAGATAATGTTCTTTTAAAAAAATACAATCAATTATGCTTGTATTTTTTCACTAATTTGATTCAAACCACTTAATATTTTAGCCTGTGATATTTTGAATAATAAACAGTAATTTCTATAAGCATAACTATCTTAAATTAAGCCAATGTTAGTTTTTTGTAAGCCCATGTTAATTTTACATCTTTCCTTGCATAAGCTTGATTTCTCTATAATAATTTTTCTTTCACTTTTCCTATATTTTAAAAATGAAAAGATTTTTCCTGCTAAGTATAAACGTATTAGCAATTGTCAACAAATAAATTTATTAAAAAGCATAGAAAACAACAAATTTTCTTACCTCATCGAATTTATGGATTTGACGAATAAAATAATCCCCATAACGAATAGCTACTTTTGTGTCAGCAATATGTATCATGTCCTTAAATAGAAGAAGAAAAAAAATTAATTATTTGTTAAATAAGCTATTAACACACAGAAGAAATATTTTAAAATGCTTTAAGATTTTATAAGCTTCAAAATGTTATGTAAATTTATAGTAATTAAAAATTGGAATATTAAATCAAGAAATAACTACAATTTTTATATTTTGTAATTTATTTCAATACAGAATGTCTGATTATATAATGAATTTAACACCATTTTATTATAGAAGTTATTAAAAAAAACACACAAAAAAATTAACCATAATCATTTTAAACAATTTGCTCAATCATCTATTACAAAATATAAAAACATAATATCCAGCATAACGTTGCTACAACAGGCAAAGAGTACAAATCTAGTCAATTCCGACATAAATACACGTTTCTTTTTTTAAAAAAATACCTAACTTTTTATAACTGTATGATTATGTGTGAATTTCAAATCACAATTATTTCACAAATCTGAGAGATTTTTTATCTATGGTTGTTGTTACCAGTTTCAACAAGGTTCATAACATTGCGCTATTTTCAAATGCAATCTTATTGAAACGGGCGAATTTTGATTGCACATTTGTGTAATCATTTTTGCACATGCTCAATTTGTGCTTGCCTTATAGCAGTTATTGATGCAGATATTTACGCGATTTTTGAAATCTTTAATTTTTCGTTATTTTAAAACCACACACTAATTTAGAAACACCCATTTTAGAATTAACTTCTTAGTGCATTTGTTTTGCACCATCGCAGAGCATTTTAGATGGTTTGTCTTTCGTTTCTCAGCAATTATTGCAGTTGATTTCTACATGATTTTAAAAATCCAATATTTTCAATGCTAAATTATTATGACGCATGTGGAAATTTCTGAAAACGAATTTCTGATAGCTTTGAACACATTTAATTCACACAAATTTGTATTCCACAATGTCTAGTCTAGTGTTCTTGTTAATATCACTAATGATTTCGTGACGAGGCAGTGTTTTGATTTATTATTTATCCACAGGTTTTAAAATATAGATTTTTTTTCTTTTAAATACCACATTATTAAAATATATTTCTAATATGATATAAGGCCCAATTGGGTAATCACAAATTGGGAAATAAAAATGCAGAAGATTTTAGTTATGACATGGAAAGGTGAAACTAGGAAAATATGCCAAATGCTCGGCAAAATGCAGAAGAATTAACAGCTGTGCAAATCTAAAACAAAACATCCTGTTTTATAAAGTTTCTATACAAACTTTTTATAATTTTAAGGGGAAATATTTTCACACAGAAAACCTAGGAAATTGCAAAAATTTAAAATTTGCCCTTGAAATAATAGATTTTAATTGCAAAATATAAAATTGTATAGATTACAAACTACCTTCAACTTGAAACAAAATAATAAATCAATTTTTTAAGTATTCTTTACTCTTATTGACGATATTTAATGAAAGAAAAAAAGGGGAGCAGCTCACTTTATCAATGTAGAAATCTACTTCAGACCCAGATTGAAATTCACCTTCCAAGCCACTAGTGCCTTTGATCCAGACCATATTCTTCATTTTGTGCTAAATACAAATAATGTTAAAATGTTATTTGTTAATAATGTTAATAATCTATTACACATTAACTTACGAGAATAATTTATATAAGCCTATATGCCCAGACCCAAACATAAATTACTAATTGTCAAGCAGAGGATTGCTAAAGCTCCTCAGAAAATAACATAAATGTATATTTTAACACTAATGAACATTTTTGTGCTAAACATAATAAAAAGGTATAAGTGTTGACTTAGTTTGCCATTTTCATCATTATCAATTAATCTCTGATATAATTCACATATATAAAAAAGCAGTTGTTCTACAGCATTCGTTCTTAGATGTCTCAAAAATAACAAAGCCCAATAACTAATGAAAAGTTTGACTAAATTATTTTTAGCTGAAGGGGCATAAAATAAATTAATATTTTTTAAATTATGTTTTCATAAAGAAGAAACACAATGATTGGACATAGGAAGGACAGTGGAATGACATAACCAATATAGTGGAATTATCCCTAAATAAATCCATTTAGATTAATGTTAGATAAATGTATTCTTTTAAAAATTACCAATAGAGAACATATAATATAGTTCTCTATCAATCTTATATAGTAATTACCAATGTATACAATAATTAACTCAATTAGGTAATGCAACTTTTTTTCAATTGCTAAAAACGTTATTTTAAAGCGTTATGTTAAATGTTTACGTTTAAAATGTTATTTCATCATTAATTTATTTTAAAGTTAACAATAATTGCTACATCATATTTATTTATATATAAGTTGACTTTATAAACAGACAAATCACATAAATTTACAGCCTTAAACATTGGAAAAAGGAAAATATTCAGCTCTATTTCACCTCAAAATGCTATGTTCACAGCTAAATGTTATATTTCACCACTTTTTTTGTCACAAAAAAAAACTTTGTCTAATAAAGAAAGCTTACCTTTAAATTAAGCAAAAAATTAAGGAACCAGTTTAAAGCTATCCAAAACATATTGTCAAAATTTTATGAGCAATTATTATATAATTACAGTACAATATCACACACCGATTGGATAATTTTAACAAAAACTGTATTCGAAAATCACAACAAAAAAATTTCTTATAAGGGTGTCAGGAAGTTAGGATTTCCAAAGACAATGACATTTTAAATTTAGCACACAAACAAAACGTAAGTTCCATAATAACAAGAAACAATTGGTAAACATACTTTAAAGCATAGAAGAAAGTTAACTACAACTTGTTCATCCTAAAAAAAAACAAGAACAAAAAATAATGAATACAAGTCAATATGAAAATGCGTGAAAGAATCTAAATAAAAAATACACAAATTAATTACCATTTCCAAGAATGCTGCCAGTTTTGCTATTGGCATTGTGGTGTACAATTTAAGATAACTAAAAAAGAAAACAATTAGGAAAACATGCTTCATTTTAACTTTAACATAGTAAGTACTGTACATGTACAATAAATTTAGAGAAAATTACTGACCTGCGAATGGTTGGAAGCATGATTTGTTGCTTGATTTCATCCATGAATACTCTTAATTGAGCAACAAATGGTTCCTGAAAGAAATTAATGTCGATTTTAAAACACTATACCATACGTCAATCAAAGCAGTCAATCCTAAAAGTAATAAATATTCTGTATGCAAGATAAATTTAGTGTAACAAATTTCAGGTTATCTGAACTACAGTGGGAGCCCTGTATAAATTAGCGACTTGTTGTGGGCAGATGTCAGGCCTAGCTCTGGTGGTGGCCTATAAGTTGCTGAGGTTGGGGACTGCAGCATAGTGTGTTGCCAATATATCTGTCTGCTTTCCTGGCTATAGTATTTTTCTAAGAAGGTAGTGAAGAGGTGACAGGCATAGGTGCAGAGCTGGTGTCTATGTCCATGTTCAAGTTCAAGTTATGCTGCAGATTTAATTTTGATTTGCATTTGCGCTGCAAATATAACTATTGCGTTCAATCAAGCAAATTAGGTGTACTTAAATTTAATCTTGTTACTTATGATGCATAAATGCTTTGTCATCATTTGGTGTTCAATGTCATCACATTAGTATAAGTCTATAATCATAAAGATAACAATTGTAAATGAGAAATATTACAGTTCTCATCAAAACTTGAAAAGTCCCAGCAAAAAATAATTCTAAGAAGGATAGCTAATCTTAAATTTAAACTCCACCAAAAGATAATGAACTTACTTTATGTGCATTTTGTAGAGTCAAAGGTGTTGCTGGACTAGCTGCATTCTGCGAATTTGAACTGGGTGGAACAGGAGACAAAAACTTTGGGCATGCAAATGTAAAACAAGCTTCAAATTCAGTTAAATCCCTGTGATGAAACACCAGAATTGAATGAAACTCATTTTAAAATTTAAAGAAAATAATTTATAGAGAAAGAAATATCTAAGAAGCATTCTAAAGAAAAGATATATCATTTTGTTACATTCTATAACTTTAAAAAAACAAGATTTTGTTTCAAAAAGATTGATTAGCAACAAAAAAAAAATTTCTATTTGCATTTCAATATCGAGCCACTTTATACTGTATTTAATCCAGTCAGTGCTCCTTATAAAATTCATTGGTTTAATTTTCTTTAAGCCGATTTCTATTCAACCGATTTTCTTAAAGCCGAAGTCAAGTGTTTAAATAATGTTGTATTTGAATTATTACTTTAAGAAATAGTCAGTATTTAAGAATGAATGTTGCAAATGCAAAATTTGTCACATTTTTCGTGGCCATACTATTTAGAAAAAAAACTAGATAAAATTCTTCAAATTTTATTCTTCTTTTTTTTAATTTAAAAGTTTAAATTATTTTTAAGTTTAGATAATTTAATTGCTTGTGTTTTTACAAATAGAAACCTTAGGGTGTTGTACAGTGCAGAACAACAACAAAAAATGTGTTTTCTTTCTTCTCAATAAAGATATATGAATAAAATATTTTTATATTCCGTTTATACATCATTTAACATGTTTTCCATATATTCCTTAGTTTTTTCCCATTGTTTTAGGGTAACAAGAGAAACAGCATCGGAAATAATACTTCTGGAATGCAAGCAATATCAGAGCTCTACCTAGGAATAAAAAAGGACAAGGTGTTTTGTCACAGAAAAGAGATTTTGAAAAGGCACACAAACTAGCATTAAAATTTATCAAGATAGGTAACATTGTGTTACAATTCCATCTTTAAATAACCCTCATACTATTTTATATGTATATTGCCCAAAGTAATTCTCACTCATTAGCAAAATAACAGAAAAACGGGAAGCTTTCGAAAAATAATTAAAGGTAAGCTAAAAGACAATATATGTATCTTGTATACAATATGTACAATACAGTAAGGAACCGATTATGTGGAACGATCGGGAACATCGCTACTAAAAGCCGTTTTTTTATTGTTAAACCCAACTAAAAAAAAAAAAATATTTGGAAATAATCTTAAAAAGAAGAAAAAACGATGACTAATGATTATTTCAAAAATGATGGTAAGGTAAAAATCTTTCAAAAAAGAAAGAAAAATCCTAAAATCTTATGAGGTTCATTTTTTAAAGAAAATGGTGGGAAAATGTATTGAATTTCCGGATAACGGGTTCCGTACTGTATATGTATTTTTATATTTTAAACTAAAAATTTATAACCGAATATCATGCAAATTTAAACTATATAACTAGACAACATAAGAAAAATCTTACTAAATGAAAAAATGAAATTAAAAGTCAAATAATTATAAATAACTGAATTAATCAAAAGCAGACTTTTCATTGAAACAGGTACTGAAGAAAACAATCTTTTCCTGAAAAAAATTTTGCGCCTGACGGGACACATATGTCCCAAGCAAATTTCAAAAAAATCTTTTGGGATACAAATGCTTCCCTGTCTAATGGGGAGACTTTCCCACCAGTCCTGCCAATATTTTTGAAGGTATTTTCATTTACAGAACATAGGTGGCTCTACAGTACATAATGTTGTCCTACTCATAGTTTATGAAAACAAAATTGCTCTGTTGTAAAAAAAAAAAAAAAAAACTCGGCGCGAAAGGGATGACGGCTTATTTTTACAAAATGGGCAAGGTCGGTACATTTACAGTGATAAAAAAGGGTAGACAGGCCAGGCCATTCGTTAGATAAAACAATAGAATTATTGTGACAAATAAAAAATACTCAGGTGCAGGACATGAATTTTTCATATATTAACAATATCAGAATTATTTCATGTAAAATAGTAAGTACTTTTCCATATATATATGAGACATGTAATTGTTGGAAGAAGAAATTATCTGTATTTGCTTTTTTTAATGTTTTTTTCTTTTTTAGTACTTAATTTTTTCAACTTTTTGTAGAACAAAGAGAGAAATATAAGACTGTCGTTTTTATGAATGCATAAAACAATACACATATTGAAAATTTTTTATTCTAGTCGTGTCGACGCATCAACTAGTTGTCATTGCATCAAAAAAAGATATTAAAAATTGAAATCTATTACAGTAACTGAAAAAAGATTACGTTTAAACCATTAATTATATTTACAATGAAAAAGTACAAATCAGATATGTCAAAAAGGGGATAATTAAGAGTGTGTTTTGACAGGGTTCTTGCTCAATTATTTCAAAAAAAAATTAGGACTTTTTTAGCACTTTTTTAGGACTAAGAAAAAAAAATTAGCACTTGATGTAAAGTAAAAATAACATACTTAATCTATACATGATATTAAAAATATACAAATAAAGTGTTTCATGATTCATGAAGTAAAAATTACATAATTAATCTATACATGATGCAAATTGCAGCTTAATTTTGTCACAATCTTTTTCCTCAATTTTCTTTTTTTTACTTAAGTAATTTAATATGTTTCTCATTTTTAGAACACACTTGCTTTTGTTTTCTGACATTAATTTTGGATTGATGCAAGCAACATTTCTTACAACAGAATAGTTTATTGGACATTTCTCTAGTAAAGTTTCTAACATTTTGGTGATAAACTTTCTGCAATCTTTCTTTATATTAATATGATCCCGGTCAGAAATAACTTTTGAGGCCAACTGCTTTAAAATTTGGTCACCTTTAAAACCTACACTGATTTTTGTCAGAGAGACATAATTCTTTTCATCACAAAAATTAAAATGGCACAGTTTCTCCAGAGAATTTAAGTTTTCTATAGATTCTGGCTTCAGAATGTTATATAATTGCACACTATGTAATACCAAATCCTGGATATCTGCAGCAAAAAATGGTAAAAGTGGCCGATCTGCTTGATACAGTTTCAAAAATGGTGAAACTAGCTCCGACACATTTAAGAAAAAGTTCAGCTTAACAAGAATTAATTTGTCTTTTATTGCTTCTTGTAAAGTTAAAAAGGATTTACATTTCACTTTTCTAAACTTGCCAACATTTTTCACATAAGATTTCAGATCATTCCAAAGCAATATTGCTCTTTCAGCTGCAGGTGCATTTTCCAGCCAACGGTGGTTACAAAATTTTAGTGGTAATTTGTTCTCAGTTGATTGATTAATAAAATCTTCTTTTCTTGTGGGTGAATCTTTAAAAAGATAGAAGATTGAGCTCAGGATGGAACCAATGAGCCATTCTGTTTCAGATTCACCTTTGTAGAATGCGTTATTTAAAATATGAAGCCCACAACTTCCTATTGCATTGCATTGAACACCATGTTCTTTTAACAAATCTTCTTGAATATTATTATAAAACTTCCAATTGACAGCAGGACCGTCCATAGAAATCTGCAATAATTTCTTAAGGTCTACATTTTTGACTGATGCATAAAAACAGGCCAAAAGGTCATCTGCTACAGAATGGCCCAGAAAAGCTGATGTTAAGTATCGCGTCTCTACAATGTTCTTATCTGGGTTCCAAAAGTGGATATGTATATCCAACTGCTTCTGCTGTGTCGCTTTGTTCAAAGACTCATCAAAAAGCAATGTATAAAACTTGGCATTATCAATGCACTTCAGAAGTAGCATGCTAAAATGAGGTGCAAGTCCAAAATGACAGAGATATGCACACTTAGATTCACTGCAGGTGAAATGACGTGCTATTGAACTGTCTGGAAACATTGTACTAAATAATTTTCCAGTGTCTTTGGAAGAATTGTAGGAGTAGTAGCTTTCTACAACTTTTAAAGCCCATAAAATCTCAGAAGAAAGAACTTCTTTCCCCAAAGCCCAAGAATCTTCTAAAAAGATGGAGGCAGCAGGAGAGCCGAAGGCAACAGAATTTAAGGATTTAGGGAAACCGATTTAAGGAATCCGACCGCTCAAAAAAAAATTTTCAAAACGCCAAAATAAAAAATATTTAGCACTTTTTTAGCACCCAGAAGAAATTTTAGCACTTTTTAGGCCCTAAAGAAGTTGGGGAAAAATTTTAGCACTTTTTTAGGACATTTTAGGACAGCAAGAACCCTGTTTGAGATTCACATTTTATAATAAATATAGTATTCCAAACATCAAAATTTTTAAAATTATGAAGAAATAAGTAGTGAGATCTTCTAAATAATTAATTTAGAAAAAAATTATGGAATTATCACGGTCGAAAAAAGGTGAATTCATAAGTGTGCAAGCATTATCTGTATCATAATATTGGAATTCCAAGGGAAAAAAATTATCCAAATACCACATGATTTAGTACAAATCTAACACATCAAAAAAGTAATTACTCAATTGTATGATTTAAATTTCTTGTTGCCATGTGAATATCAGTAGCAATAACTGTGATAAAGAGACAGTGTTACCGTAAAATCAAAAAGTGACTATGCTCCAGATGAATTTCGCAAAAGGTAATAATCATGTATAAAAATATTGGGGTTTAAAGAAAGTAAAACAGTAAAATCCGTAGCAATAATAGCTGATAAAACAATCCAACACCAAATGAATTTACGATGATAGCAACGTAAATCAAGGGCATCTAAAAGCAATTACTCAAATGAAGAAAAAAATCATTCAAATTAGTAGCAATAATAACTGATAAAACAGTTGCAACTCCAAATGGATTTATGATGGTATCAACGTAGATCAAGGGCATCAAAAACTGATTACTCAAATGCGTAGATCAAGGGCATCAAAAACTGATTACTCAAATGCGTGACTCAAATTTTGCAGAATTTTAAAAACCATGAGAAAATCAATTGCATTAATTACAAACGAAAAAAAAAAAAAGATCAAAACACAGATTTATGGGTATTGAACATGTTGAAATGATCACTGAAATGTGGGACTCACAATTTCCATGGTGTAATATCATATTAAAAATTGATTTGATCTAATAGTAGCGAAATAGGAAACAGGACATTGATTACAATAATTAAATAATTCTTCTGCTACAAATCAGAATCTAAAACATAATTGGTACTAAATAAAATATAAGTTTTTAAAAATAAAATAAAAAAATTAGAAAAAACACCATTTTTATGGGCGGTCTCGAGATTCGTGGAATTCCACAAAATAGCACTGATAAAGTGGGTATAACAGATGGTAAAAAAGGGTATAGCAGCTTAAAAAATTGGTATAACAGATGGTAAAATAAATTTTAATTAAAAAATTAGTAAAATTAAGAAACTCAAAGAACAAAAATTCCAACTTATCTTCAAAATTCCCCGATTTTTCCCAGTTTTTACCTAAATTTTCCTGATTTTTCCAGGTTTTTTCAAGTATAAAAAAATTTTGGTATAAAAAAATATGCAAATTTCAGTTTTTCCAGGTGGTTGGCTACCCTGTACTGTATTTTATTGTCGAAACTGCTGGACAAGACATACAATGACTAATTTTATTCCATCTAATGCAAAAAACTATAGGAGAAAATTTTTCACAATTACCCTCTCTGCATTTTTAATAGTTTTTCTCCATAGGTTTCTTTTAGGGTGGATAAAATGCTTTCATCAATTCTTTGTGGGTGTAATACTAAACAAATAGTCAGTAGTGTATACATTCTCTCGGTTTGCTTACTCATCTATAAGAAAAATAGAATAAAACAATATTTTAATCAAATTAATAAAAACAACTATTTCATTATTTTAAACTACATGAAATGTTTAGTTAAAAGGCTATGAATTAATATGTTTTCTTTTTACTTGATCAGATTGATAAGTCCTTTGTTGGAAAAGATTTCGCTGTGTTCTTTGAATGTACAGAAGAATATTGGAAAAAGAGCGAATGGCATCAGCATATCGCCTCATCATCATGTAAGAAAATCCAACATAATAATATGTGGTGATCTGACAAGCAGGAACACGGGAATACAAGCTCTGAAAAAAAATCCCAATAACTAAATAAGTATGTAATAAACTTTCATAAAACATGGAAACAAAAACAAAAAAAACAATTAAAGTAACCTCATAAAACATAATTTTCTTATTATTAAACTTTATAACTCTTTTTAAATTTAAACAATTTAGAGAAGAAACATCTTAAAATCAAATATGGAATGACTATAACAACTTATAGTGATAATTTATACTTCTATAATTTATAGATAAAACATCTTAGAGACCTTGAATCGTAATAATGATTTATAAAGTTAAGCTTAAAGTCTTTGCTTTAAAAACAAATTTAGACTTACAATACACTTATTTTACAAGAAGGTTTAAGTTTACAAGAACACGCAGCTACCCAGTTATTAAGAAAATTTTGATTTCAAAATAAACTTTCATTTATCATCAACAAAATAACAATTAAAATATTTATAAGTGCACTTTTCGTGAATTTCAGTGAGTTTAAATGTAACTCAGTTCTGTATGTGAAGCATTAACAAATATGTCATTCTTTCTTTCTCATCCACTAGCTTCTATTTGGCGAACTATATAAATTCCCAACATTAATTTAAATTGTTCACATCTTAGCATTCACACCCTTGGTGTTTCAAAATGCTGTCAAACAAGTCTTCCTGAAGTAGTCGACGACTGTTTGTTGTTAAACGCACTAGGATTCTTCTACCACTTCATACACATTCAAAAACAAGTCACTGAAGTATTTGAAATTTATTGATTTGACGAAATAAATCATAATCAATGTTATTGCTGTAAGCTCTAATTGGATAATCATTGCGTTAGATTAGATCCATGAAACTATAAATCAAGAAAAAGCCTAAAACAAGAAAGGAATTGCTTTATAAATCATCCTTTTAGTGATTTCTATTATCCAAGACAAGAAAAAAGATGTTCAATTGAGCACTGATACATAAGAGAAGACTTTATTTTGACAGTTGAATTTGAGATATTTCAGGCGTCCACTTAAGAACCTTGAAAAAGTCTAGAAACTCAACGACCTTAAAAAAAGGTAACACCTCCCAATATGTTGTATAGTTCAATAAGACTAAAATAAGATCTTTCATCAAGAAATTTTAAATTTTGCAATATCACTTAGAGCCTTCTTTTACAAACAGCCTTAAGCAACTGATACAAAATTCGACAAACTACTGGTTTCCAATCGATTTTTTGAAAAATGTCCGTTTCCTGATTCAATTAAAACATATCAACATTTTTCATATGATAGCTTGTCTACAAAGGTTAAGTTTGATAGAAGATTTCTAACCAATCACAGTGCAGATACACATTGTTTGATGCCGATGGCGGAGAGAAATCAGAGAGATAGGAAGATAAAAACTTGATTACATGTTACAAACATTACTAGACAATTTTATGTAAATATTTCACTGATTTATGTAAATATTTAACTTTAAATAAGAGATGCAAATATATCAAATTACCAATTTGCCTTTATAAAGTTATTTAGAGAATGAAATCTAAAACTATGATTCAATCTTCAGTAGTCACTTTTAATTCATATTTTTTTTTTATTATCGATATAAACAAACTGTCAAATTTGATTAATTGTCAATTTTTACAAGGTAATTACAATTATATTATCTCATTATAGTTCTTGATACAATTTAACGTTTTCAGATCTGGTTAGATACATGTGTTTTTGTATGCACTAAGTATTTTGAAATTGTAAAAAAAAGATTAGAAATTGCCAATTATCTAGGATTAATGAAAAAAGTACTTTTATCATATTTTCAAAATTTTAAATAGATAATCATAAGAGTTTAAAATGTTTAGTAAGGAGAATCTTAAAAATGAACTCTTCATTGCACCCAAAATCCTTTAAAATAAATTTTCTAAATCAAACGAACATTATCAATTCTATTTCGAAAAACAATTTTTAAAAAATCTTGTTAATACTTGGAAATATTTAAAGAGTTCAAGTAATATTTCAGATGATTACAGACACAAAAATCTATAAGATCGAAACTAAGTGAACAGATCCTAATTCGAAAGTCACAGTTACAAATTCTCCCCCAGCCCATAGTCATGAATTTTTTCATTGGTGGAGGAAAAATACAGCACACTTGACCTGCAGAAAAAGATAAGTTTCTTCGATGTCAATCTTTTTACTTCGATAGTGATCTAATGTTACAGGTCAGGAAACCAGTCACTTTCGAATAGTGATTAAACAAGTTTAAAGAAGCTCGATTCAGTTGCATAAAGGTGCAAGTTGTTTAAATGTATATTAACTTCTTTATAACGATTATGTGAAGAAGATTTGAGAGGTCGCTAAAAACATATCTTGTCATCCTTAAAATATTTTCTAGTTAAGCGACAAAAATATAAAAAATGTTCAGCCATCTGATAATCTATTTCCTATTAACCAAAAATCAATGTCACCTAAATAATCTTTAAAGCTTTCAGCTCCTACATTTCCATCTAATAAGTGAATTATATTCTTAATACTTACAAGTAAACAATAAAATAAAAATTACCTTTTTATTCAGTTCAATATTTTCCAAAACTTTGATAGCTTGGTAATAGTCCCCCAACAAAGAATGCAACCGAAGCAATCCAACTAAACTGAAATATCCCAACATTTTGTACAGAGGATGTCTTCCAAATTCTCCAGCAACACTATCAGGGTCACCTAATGAATAATGAAAACAAATCAATAAACATTAATAAAAATAAAAGCAATTAAAGAGAGCATAAAATATCAGGGGTGATTGTGAGCCCAAGTCAAAATTCCGGAAAATTTCTTAAGTTTAAAAAAAAAAAAAGACAGTTTAAATTGAAAAAAATTTAAACAAGTTTTTTTTTCCTTTTTCTCAATATTTCTTAGTTTTAAAATATATTTAAAATTTTACACATATCTATGATGACCTGGAGAAGTAATTAAAATTTACAAATATGTCTTTCTTTCTTGAGTTCATTATTATAACTGTTTACTGATAAAAAATGAATATTAATCATAATATAAGCTTATAAAGTATCTCTCTGGCTCTTCCTTACAAACAAATAAATTAAACTGTGTTTTTAAGTTCCACCTTTGAAAATTTGATTT